CCCCTTGTGGCCAGCCCCTAAGAAGGCGTGGCTACAGCTTCCCCTACAAGCAACCATCAAAATAGATGAGGCTTTACCACAGCTGCAGCCAGGGGAAGCCGCTGCTGAAATTTGAAGCCTACTCAACTCTAGGCAGCTAGAAACTGTCTGCAAGCTGGGTGGATGGTTCTGAGTATCTCAGCGGCAGTGTGAATGCTCTGGTGTGGCTCAGCGGGCCAGCTGCTAGCTGGGAGCACCTGTGGAGAGAGGGCGCTTTCCTGGCCTAGTCTGTCGTCAGGGTGGTGGTGGGGGGACCAGCAGGCTGTCCCAAATGGGGCCAAGGTCCCGATCCTGACACCAGATAATATGGGCAATTACCAATACAGAGCCAGGTAGAAATATAAGGGTATTCAATAGGGAACAGCCTTACTTACAGAGCGACCTAGCCAGCTGCCGTGACAGCAATCTGTACAGCAAGCTGAAAAGTGAAACTGAAAGCAAAACCCAGCCACCTGAAACTCTCACTCTACGTCACCCTGACCACGCCCTTTACTTTTAAAATGTATGTGTGTCTGTGTGTGTATGTATATATGTATGTGCATATGTATGTATGCATGTATGTATGCGCACAACAGACATGTCAGGTTCTGGTGGTTGGAAGAAGGTGCTGGACCTCCTGAAGTGGAGTCACAGGTGGTCGAAGCTGCCGTGTGGGTGTTGGGTCCTCGAGAAGCACAGTCTGAGCTCCTAGCTGCTGAGCCATCTCTCCAGCCTCCCAAAGGAGAAGTTTAAATGGGCTGTAAAGTACTGAAAAGTTGAAAGCTAAGCATAGAGGTGTATTCTTACCTCTCACCATCTGGGAAGTGGAAAATAGAAGAATCGGAAGTTCAAGGCCAGCTTCAGCTAAGAAGTGAATTTAAACCAACTTGGTTCTTGCTTAAAGAAACCAACCGACCAAATAAGAAAGGGGGAAAAAAGAATACATTAGGTTTTTAACCATGTAAAACTAAATTATGCTTTTGTTGTTTATTTTAGCAAGTGATGAAAATAATCAAATGGTTTTAGATTTACGTTTCTGAACCTAGTGTGATCTCTATACTTAATTTTTAAAAGGGACAACTTAAGGGTCTGGGGACATGGCTCAGTGGTTAAGAGCACTTCCTGCATTTGCACAAGACTGTGGTTGATTGTCATCATCCATGTCATGTGGCTCACAACTGACTGTGACTTCTGCTCCAGGGAACCCTACACCTCTGCCCCCATAGTTACCTGCACTCAAATTCAAATAACCATAATTGTAAAAATAATAAATCTAAGAAAAGAAAAAAACTTAATCTAGGTACAGGATCTAAATAATAGCCAATTTAACAAGTTACTGCTAAAAGAAGAGTAGTTTCTTAGAACTAAGGTAGCTCACTAGGGAGCCTCCAGCAAGCAGTGTGTCCACTCATCAGTGGTGTGAGAGGGGCCACATTCATTATTCTGTCAGTGAGTGCTGCAAGGTCCTGAGTGAGATTATTCTGACTGTTAAATACAGTCCTCGTTCTCGTGAAATTATTCAAGTTGTGGAGTTAATAGCACTTCTCTTCTACGGCGGTGTGGTTGGGAGGTTTAGTAACTGTTTTTATGTATCTAAAAACAGCAGTGTCTGGCACACAGAGATTAGTCACTATCTCTTGTATTATACATGATAGAATTGATTTGAGAAATTTGGCCGATATTGGATTGAGTAGTATATAACATTTTGATTAAAATTCTGAGAAAACTATTGTTTGTTCTTCAGTGTTTTCACCATCACTATTTGAGGTTGTTATTTCCTGAATATAGAAAATAATTAACTTCTATATGAGGAGCTACATGGATAAGGAACACACAGTAGGGCTATTCACTTCAGAGATCCAGGAGGCAGCATTGCTGCTGTGGGTTGGTGTGTGTGTCACGCAACACACTTTTAAGGTGAGCAAACAAACAGCTTTGAAAGAGCCAGGTAGAAAGGGAAAGAAAAAATCTTATAAAATGCAAATACATTTAATGAAATATTCCTACACCAGAAACATAATTACATACTGAAAGTAGAATTTAAAGTCAAACTAGGTTTCAGTAAAAGCTGTCAGTGTTTCTAAAATTAACACATGAATTTAATTCAGTTCCACTTTAAAAGTCTAGTTTATCAGGTTAGGGAGTGAGATAAGCTGATTTTGTGGTTTTTATTTGGGGGGAAGGGGGGTAAGAGTTCACTGTGTAGACTATGGTGGCCTGGAGTGCAGGAAGTCACACGTGTCTGTCTGGCCAGTGTTAGATTAAAGAAGGCACCACTGCATGTGTCCAGGTAATGGAGCTGTCGAGCTCTTCTCAGAATACCCAAGAGAGTACATTGTATATCTGACCCTGCTGTCATTATCAGTTCCTGCCTGAAACACCCTGGCCAAAGAACAACTTGGGCAGGAAAGTGTTTATTGAGCTTTCACTTCCACACCACTGTTTATCATTGAAGGAAGTCAGGACAGGA